CCACCTTAGGTGTATGTGCTGGCGCCTTAGCCACTTGAGCCACAGGCGCCGAGCCCTTTTCTGCTTTTTAATTGTAAGACTTCTGAGGACTACCATTAATGTCCCAGAAGGAATACAATAAAGGGCCCCACCGGCTTGAGAGCCTGGCTCTTTGCAGCCCTCTGGAGTGCCTGGTGTTTATGGAGCATATGGGCTGCCTAGAGGCCTTAGCCCTCCTTCCCTCAAACAACACTAGAAGCAGCAGAAGCTAGAAGGGGAAGGAAGGAGTTTCTCTGGGATCCTGCAGAGGGAGCATGGCGCTGCCAATGCATTGGTTTTGGACTTCTGGCTTCTAGAACTGTGAGAAAATAAATATCTGTCATTTATTTATTTATTTATGGACAAAGTCTTATTCTGTTGCCCTGGGTAGAGTGCCTTGGTGTCATAGCTCAGAGCAACCTCAAACTCTTGGGCTCAAGTGATCTTCCTACTTCAGTCTCCCCAGGAGCTGGGACTACAGTCATCTGCCACAATATTCAGCTACTTTTTCTATTTTTAGTAGAGATGCAGTCTTGCTTTTGCTCAGGTTGGTCTCCCGCTCCTGAGTTCAGGCAAACCACTTGCCTTGACCTCCTAGAATGCTAGGATTACAGGTATGAGCTTGGCGAAATATCTGTTATTTTAAGCCAAGTTCACAGCAATGTTATGACAGCCCCAGGAAACTAATACAAGGAGGAAGTAAGTTCTACTTCACAATGGAGAATGCCTGAGGAAGTCAAAGTGGCATTTCTGTGAAATAAAAACAAACACCACTATGGCATGTATTAAGTGCATGGATTTGGATGTCGAATATACAGAAATTACAATTGAAGTGCAAATTAAACCCTAGAGAAACTTTTATCATTTTGTTAAACTTTGTCATTTGTTGTTTTCTTCCATGGTCTTTTAAATTTTTTTTTGGAGACGGAGTCTCACTTTGGCACCCTCAGTAGAGTACCACAGCATCATGGCTCACAGCAACCTCAGACTCTTGGGCTCACGTGATTCTCTTGCCTCAGCCTCCCAAGTAGCTGGGACTATAGGTGCCCACCACAATGCCTGGTTGTTTTTTTTTTTGAGACAGCGCCTTAAGCTGTCGCCCTGTGCTGTGGCATCACAGCTCACAGCAACCTCCAACTCCTGGGCTTAAGTGATTCTCTTGCCTTCCAAGTAGCTGGGACTATAGGCAACCGCCACACCACCTGCCTAATTTTTTTTTTTTTTGGTTGTAGCTGTCATTGTTTGGCAGGCCTGGGCTGGATTTGAACCTGCCAGCTCAGGTGTATATGGCTGGCGTCTTAGCCGCTTGAGCTACAGGTGCCAAGCCAACGTCTGGCTCTTTTTAGAGATGAGGACTTGCTCTGACTCAGATGGTCTCCATCTGTGAGCTCAGGCAATCTGCCTGCCTTTGTCTCCCAGAGTGCTATGATTACAGGCATGAGCTACTGCCCAGACTTTTTTTTTTTTGATTCTTCCATGGTCTTTACTGCCAGCAAATCTATCCCCAGTATAAACAGAAGCACTAGATTACAGCCAGATGTTTGTAATCCTTTATTCAGTGTTGAAATTCAAAATATATGATACATGATTGTCTTCAATTACCCTGTGAAAATTACTGCAATGCAGAATAATTTCTTAGAGAACTTGCAGAGAATTTGTTTTGTAGAGACAAGAGTCTCACTTTATCACCCTCAGTAGAGTGCCATGGCATCACACAGCTCACAGCAACCTCCAACTCTTGGCATTAGGCGATTCTCCTACCTCAGTCTCCCAAGTAGCTGGGATTATAGGCGCCCGCCACAACGCTCTGTTATTTTTTTGTTGCAGTTTGGCCAAGGCCAGGTTTGAACCTGCCACCCTCAGTAAGGGCTGGCGCCCTACACACTGAGCCACAGGTGCCGCCTGAGAACTTGAAACTTTGATGAGGGATTATTTAGGCAAAATATTGAATTTATAAACAACGTCAATTACAGGCTTAATATTCATTTAGTTTTCTTTTTTTTTTTTTTGAGACAGTCAAACTCTGTTGCCCAGGCTAGAGTGCCGTGGTGTCATCTTGGCTCATGGCAACTTCAAACTCCTAGGCTCAAGTGATCCTCCTGCTTCAGCCTCCCAAGTAGTTGGGACTACAGTCATCCGCCACAACACGTAGCTAGTTTTTGTTTTTAGTAGAGATGTGTTCTCACTCTTGCTCAGACTGGTCTTAAA